TCTCCCCAGCAACAATAGATCTCCCCAGCAACAGTGGACAGCCACACAAAATTGATGCTTTCCAGCAACAGTAGACCCCCCCCCCCCTCCCTCAACAGTAAATTCCTTCCAACAACAGACTCCCCCAGTAACAATAGATTTCTAGATCCCCTACCAAAAAAAATAGACCCCCCCAGCAGCTAGCATTAATAGACCCCCCAGCACCCCTTGCCATTACATATATTCAGTGCTGGAGGTGCCCCCCGCGTTCCCACTGAAAGTATGGAAACTGTCAGATGAGCTGGACAGCCAGGCAGCTGGCATTTTTAGTAGAGGTTGACAAAAGCATCCTCCATATTGTCTCTCTGTAGGTCTCCTTCAGTGCAGGGCTACCTGAGGATAACGGTGCCATAGTGATCAGGTTGAAGGCTTGCAGCCAGCGCATGCTGGGGCTTGTAGCTTTTCCACCCCACCCCCGCTCACCGCAGCTGTAGGGTTGCAAGTTACCCAATTCTTCATGTCCTTCCCAGTCTTCCCGTCTCTGACAGCTGGCTGAGTCACGTGTGCATGTCAGGATGACAAGTTTCTCTTCCTCTAATAAGCTGTCACAATTTATTTTGCATTCTGGAAAGTGTTTGACTTTCTCAGCACAACGGAGGCTGTGTGACCCCGACTCACCCCTCTACTTCTGGAGAGAGCGGCTCGGGTGAGTAGAGGGGGGAACAATCAAAGCCTTCAATTACATGAGCTGATGCTAGTATGGGCTCGGGGTTGGTCATTGGGCTCGGGGGTTGGTCATTGGGCTCGGGGGTTGGTCATTAGGCTCGGGGGTTGGTCATTGGGCTCGGGGGTTGGTCATTGGGCTGGGCTTATCGGCACCCCTATGGTAGAGTGATGGCACATTACGTATAGTGCTCGGCATCAATGAGTACACCCCAACAGGTTTGTCAGAAAACCTTTGCTTTCAGAACCGGCATTTTCTATGGGACACTGTACTACAAAATCCTCCCACAAATGTGGGCCATTGATTGCAAACAAGATTTGTTAATTTGCACCAACAAAAAAGTATTTTTCTTAACAAATTCATTCATGACCGTGTTGCAAAATGAACACACCCCAATGAAAGTCTTAGGAGCAAAGCTAAATTTTAGGCAACAGCCGGGACCGACCTCTCTCCTGTTTGCTGCCTGCCTTGACCTCAGCCAGGACCCGACCTCTCTCCTGTTTGCTGCCTGCCTTGACCTCAGCCAGGACCTGACCGCTCTCCTGTTTGCTGCCTGCCTTGACCTCAGCCGGGACTCGACCGCTCTCCTGTTTGCTGCCTGCCTTGACCTCAGCCGGCACCCGACCACCCTCCTGTTTGCAGCCTCCCTTGACCTCAGCCGGCTCCCAACCACCCTCCTGTTTGCTGCCTGCCTTGACCTCAGCCGGCACCCGACCGCCCTCCTTTTGCTGCCTCCATTGACCTCAGCCGGCACCCAACCGCCCTCCTGTTTGCTGCCTGCCTTGACCTCAGCCGGCTCCCAACCACCCTCCTGTTTGCTGCCTGCCTTGACCTCAGCCGGCACCCGACCGCCCTCCTGTTTGCTGCCTGCCTTGACCTCAGCCGCCACCCGACCGCTCTCCTGTTTGCTGCCTGCCTTGACCTCAGCCGGCACCCGACCGCTCTCCTATTTTCTGCCTGCCTTGACCTCAGCCGGGACTTGACCACTCTCCTGATGCTGCTGCCTTGACCTCAGCCGGGACTTGACCACTCTCCTGATGCTGCTGCCTTGACCTCAGCCGGGACTTGACCGCTCTCCTGATGCTGCTGCCTTGACCTCAGCCGGGACCTGACCGCTCTCCTGATGCTGCTGCCTTGACCTCAGCCAGGACCTGACCGCGCTCTCTTGCCTGCCACCTGCCTTGACTCCAACCGGGACCTGACTAATCAATTGCCTGCCACCTACCTTGACTCCAGCCAGGACCTGACTAATCTCTTGCCTGTCACCTACCTTGACTCCAGCCAGGACCTGACTAATCTCTTGCCTGCCACCTGCCTTGACTCCAACCGGGACCTGACTAATCTCTTGCCTGCCACCTACCTTGACTCCAGCCAGGACCTGACTAATCTCTTGCCTGTCACCTACCTTGACTCATCTCTTGGCTGCCACCTACCTTAACCCCAGCCGGGGCCTGCCTTATCTCTTGCCTGCCACCTGCCTTATCTCTTGCCTGCTACCCGCCTTGACCCCAGCCGGGGCCTGACTAATCTCTTGCCTGCTACCCACCTTGACCCCAGCCGGGCCTGACTAATCTCTTGCCTGCCACCTACCTTGACCCCAGCCGAGACCTGACTACTCTTACCTGCCTTGAGCCGACTACTGTCTTGCCTGACACCTGCTTTGACTCTGGTGTCTGAAATCAGGAGCTCCAGTGAAGATCAACTGTTACCTTTTACAGGGTGTCACACCTGCCAGGGGGCACCATAACATTTACTATGCAGTGTTCCCGAGATGTGTAATTCACAAAACTGGCTGGACAGAATTTCCGATTCCTTTGACCAATAGCAACTCGCCTGTAATAATTTCAAATGTGTGTCTTGCTGTTGCTGAAACTAGAGAGCGGGATTAGAGTCGGGGTGAATGACAGAAAATGTTATCACCATTGTCTGGCATCGGCTGCTACGAGCAGAAGAGTCCAAATATTCGTCAGCAGAATTGAGACTTTCCATGAAACATAATTATGAGCTTAGCAAGTGAGTGTTCGACTTTGTGAAGGAGCCATTGAACCACGTGATGTAATAGGAGTACATAGGGAGTCTGATACATTTTTGTGGTCAGGGATGAAGAGGTAGAGCTGTCCTTTAGATGGTGTCACAAATGGATGTACGTAGAGCTTCCCTTTAGATGGTGTCTCCCAGGGAATGTACGTAGAGCTTCCCTTTAGATGGTGTCACCCAGGGATGTACGTAGAGCTTCCCTTTAGATGGTGTCACCCAGGGATGTACGTAGAGCTTCCCTTTAGATGGTGTCACCCAGGGATGTACGTAGAGCTTCCCTTTAGATGGTGTCTCCCAGGGAATGTACGTAGAGCTTCCCTTTAGATGGTGTCTCCCAGGGATGTATTTAGATTTTTCCTTTAGATGGTGTCTTCCAGGGAATGTACGTAGAGCTTCCCTTTAGATGGTGTCTCCCAGGGATGTACGTAGAGCTTCCCTTTAGATGGTGTCACCCAGGGATGTACGTAGAGCTTCCCTTTAGATGGTGTCACCCAGGGATGTAAGTAGAGCTTCCCTTTAGATTGTGTCTCCCAAGGATCTACGTAGAGCTTCCCTTTAGATGGTGTCTCCCAGGGATGTACGTAGAGCTTCCCTTTAGATGGTGTCTCCCAAGGATCTACGTAGAGCTTCCCTTTAGATGGTGTCTCCCAAGGATCTACGTAGAGCTTCCCTTTAGATGGTGTCTCCCAGGGATGTACGTAGAGCTTCCCTTTGATTGTGTCTTCCAGGGAATGTACGTAGAGCTTCCCTTTAGATGGTGTCTCCCAAGGATCTACATAGAGCTTCCCTTTAGATGGTGTCTCCCAAGGATCTACGTAGAGCTTCCCTTTAGATGGTGTCTCCCAGGGATGTACGTAGAGCTTCCCTTTAGATGGTGTCTCCCAGGGATGTCTGTAGAGCTTCCCTTTAGATGGTGTCTCCCAGGGATGTAGGTAGAGCTTCCCTTTTAGATGGTGTCTTCCGGGGAATGTACGTAGAGCTTCCCTTTAGATGGTGTCTCCCAAGGATCTACGTAGAGCTTCCCTTTAGATGGTGTCTCCCAGGGATGTATTTAGAGCTTCCCTTTAGATGGTGTCTTCCAGGGATGTATTTAGAGCTTCCCTTTAGATGGTGTCTTCTAGGGATGTATTTAGAGCTTCCCTTTAGATGGTGTCTTCCAGGGATGTATTTAGAGCTTCCCTTTAGATGGTGTCTTCCAGGGAATGTACGTAGAGCTTCCCTTTAGATGGTGTCACCCAGGGATGTACGTAGAGCTTCCCTTTAGATGGTGTCTCCCAAGGATCTACGTAGAGCTTCCCTTTAGATGGTGTCTCCCAGGGATGTATTTAGAGCTTCCCTTTAGATGGTGTCTTCCAGGGATGTATTTAGAGCTTCCCTTTAGATGGTGTCTTCTAGGGATGTATTTAGAGCTTCCCTTTAGATGGTGTCTTCCAGGGATGTATTTAGAGCTTCCCTTTAGATGGTGTCTTCCAGGGAATGTACGTAGAGCTTCCCTTTAGATGGTGTCACCCAGGGATGTACGTAGAGCTTCCCTTTAGATGGTGTCTCCCAGGGATGTACGTAGAGCTTCTCTTTAGATGGTGTCTCCCAGGGATGTTCGTAGATCTTCCTTTTAGATGGTGTCTCTCAGGAATATCCATAGAGCGTCTCTTTAGATGGCGTCACCCAGGGATCTATGTAGAGCTTCCCTTTAGATGGAGTCACAAATGGATGTATGTAGAGCTTCTCTTTAGATGGTGTCTCTCAGGGATGTACGTAGAGCTTCCTTTTAGTTGGTGTCACCCAGGGATGTACGTAGAGCTTCCTTTTAGTTGGTGTCATCCAGGGATGTACGTAGCTTGCTAGGAAGATATTGATCTTTTGGCGAACGCATTTACTCGCTCGGTCTGCGTATTGATGGGGAACTGTCAATGCGTGAAGAAGGAGATAAAAGCTATTGGTGTCTCCTTACCCCGTACTCCCGAAGCCAGAGGTCTGAATTCAGATACTGCAAGTCCCTTGCCCTTATGGCTCCGTCGGCCTCGTCTTGCAGAACCGAAGCCTTATAATCACATCCCCAGCTATTGGGTTTCGTGCTATGAGAGGCTTTATGGCGTCAAATTAATCCAAAGCCGCGGATCGAATGAGAAGACACCGACCCTCTCAAGTGACATCTCTGAATTCAGGTTAAAGCTGAACTCCGTCCTCCCCTTCAGTCTTGCACAGGTATACTGGCTCCTCCCCTTCAGTCTTGTACAGGTGTACCGGCTCCTCCTCTTCAGTCTTGCACAGGTATACCGGCTTCTCCCCTTCAGTCTTGCACAGGTATACCGGCTCCTCCCCTTCAGTCTTGCACAGGTATACCGGCTCCTCCCCTTCAGTCTTGCACAGGTATACCGGCTCCTCCCCTTTAGTCTTGCACAGGTGCACTGGCTCCTCCCCTTTAGTCTTGCACAGGTGCACTGGCTCCTCCCCTTTAGTCTTGCACAGGTGCACTGGCTCCTCCCCTTTAGTCTTGCACGGGTATACCGGCTCCTCCCCTTCAGTCTTGCACGGGTATACCGGCTCCTCCCCTTCAGTCTTGCTCAGGTGTACCGGCTCCTCCCCTTCAGTCTTGCTCAGGTGTACCGGCTCCTCCCCTTCAGTCTTGTACAGGTGTACCGGCTCCTCCCCTTCAGTCTTGCACAGGTGTACCGGCTCCTCCCCTTCAGTCTTGCACAGGTGTACCGGCTCCTCCCCTTCAGTCTTGCACAGGTGTACCGGCTCCTCTCCTGGACTAGAATGGCTTCCTCTGATGTCACTGCACACTGTGAGCTGCTCACAATGTGCATTAGAAGCTGCAGCAAGTCAGAGAGCTCCGCCTCATTTCTTGGCTGGAGGACATCCAGCATCATCTAGCCCTTTCCTCCCCTGGCCCGCCT